TTGGTTGTAGAAGATGGAGGTCGTTGCTAATGTTTATTCCTCTAAAACAAAATCTTAATAAACAAGCGGTTTCCTTATTTGACCCTTACAGAATAATCAACAGATGAAGCAACACTAGCAGTAATCACATATCACACCTCTTTAGCATCTTTTGTCAGTGAAGTGACCTTGTAGCACCGACTTTTGTTGCAGACACATGGCTGGAAATGTAAATGCAAGCTATCTAGCTGCAGGAAGCTGGAAGGGTCCTGAGATGTTGCTACTACCTCAGCGTACGGTAGATAGGATGTGTCATCGTTCTGATCGAATGACTCTGTCTATGGTGTACTATTGATGGTACACCGGTGGTTCTGTTCGGGTAGGTAGCGGCGGCAGCAGCTAACCACTAGAATTTGTGAGCAGTGCGTGTCAACGTGCTCTGAATATGTGGGCGCGTTAATGGTCCGTGGGTAGATTTTGAGTACTTCTTGTGATATCGATTGTCGAAACGGTCTTAAAAATATACCATGAATCAAATTGCGTCTTGCATAGCTTATGTAGTGTTCAGAAGCGCACGAGTTGGTATGGATCTACATGTTTAAATTCTTGAACACTAGCCTCAGTTGATATGCCGTAGAGATTTTGAAGGAGGTAGGATAGGATAGGAAGGTTAGCGTTCGAACTCCTCTGCTTCCACTAGATATGACATCGCAGTGAATTGTTGAGTTATACTTTTCTGCTCTCGGTTATACTTTGTTTAGATTGAAAAGAAAGATTTTCATAGTGGCTTGAATGTTATGGACATTTTATGCTGATAGTGAGCTCTACTAATTATGGTAGTAATTACGTTCAGCATAATTAGCAGGATATTTAAATTTTCATGTGAATCTGTGGTTAACTGTAAAGCATTTACATTAAAAGTTGTCTCCAGTTATATTTTTTGAATCGATTTTTAAATACTTGATGACTTCTAAAGCGTTACACTTTCTAGCGTCCTATTCATCATGAATTTTTCTTTTCATTTTAATAAAGCTTGGATTAAGGATATATTCGCATTTTAGCACATTTTCTGTACGATAAAACAAATTCAGAATTACTGTAAGAGAAATGTCTGGCGGCACTGCCATGGATACGATGTCATCTGCACCTCATATGAATGAAGATAACGCTATACGTTATCTCACAAGCTTTGGTAAAAATTGACTTTTCAAGAAGCTTTTTGTCTTCGATTTATACCAAATCTCGTAGCGGTTGTTTGGTGGGTACATTATTCCCTGCTGTAGACATGAACTTTGTATAAATAGCTTGGTCTGTCACTATTCAGAACTACACTTGCTTTCATTGGATGAATAGTGCAAAATTGATTGAAAGGATATTTCACCTATTTCTAGAAAACCGACAAAATAATAGGATACTTACTTAGGCTTTGTGGTTCGAAATCCGCGTACTGTTGTTAACTTCCGAAACTTGAATAAACTTAAATTTGATTGTAATAAAATGGCAAAAATTGCGTCGACATTTTATTCATTGATAAATACCATCTTGCATAAGCAGTAAATATTGATATACAAAGTAATTTTCTTTTATGACATTTGAAAACTTTTGCAGTAAAATCACCAGTGAATGATGAGGCAGATATCAAAAAGAAAGAAGAGTCAATTATGGAGCTGGGTAATATGCTGGCGAAAAATAAACGTACTCAAGAATTGCGCAAAATGATTGAAAATACTCGTCCATTTTTAGTATCATTAGGCAAGGCAAAAGCGGCCAAGCTTGTTCGGAATTTGGTCGATCTATGTCTTATGATTGATAATCAAGATGGAGACATCAAGGTAATCTTACTGTTTCTAAAAGAATCAATAACGAAGTACTGGATTTTCTTTTGTATTTTGTGCCTCTTTCTATCAGCGAAACGTTGCGAGGTAGTCGAGAGTTTGTGATCTTGGAATAACAATCGAACATTCAAAAGAGATAAGGGTCATCTATAAAAATTTTTCTTTAATAAGATGATTTTCTCCTCACTTTTGATGATATATTTGCAAGGTTGATCTATGCAAGGAATGTATACAATGGGCTACCGAACAAAATCGAACATTCTTGCGACAGACATTGCAGGCTCGTCTTGTTCGTCTTTATAACGATCTTCGCAGATTCACTCAAGCACAACAGTTAGGTATATAAGTTTCGCACTTCTTGAATTCTAGTACCGTTTTTTGTAATTAGTTACTATACATTAATTAGTTACTATACGCATAATTAGTTACTATACATTTTAGCAAATCAGTTGGTTCGCGAACTAAAGAAAGTTGATGACAAAGATGTGATTGTTGAGGTACAACTGGAAGAAAGCAAAGCCTGCTACCATTTAGGGAATCTGTCAAAGGTTGCTATATGGTATTTCCAAATCACTTTTCATTGTTAACATCTTAACTAACACATATAACTTCGATTTTATGTCTTCATCACTTTTCTAATTACTTAATGCTTCGTCAACAATATGTGGTAAATGGTGATATATCAGACAGAAGACAAGCTGTTTAAGTTTTGAAAGCATCTCTAGAGCATCTGAAAAATTTTTTAATTTTTGCTCTTAATGAATTTCTTCTAGGCTAGAGCTGCTCTGACATCAGCAAGGACAACAGCAAATTCAATTTACATGCCTCCCCGCATGCAGGCTGCGCTTGATATGCAATCTGGGATTTTGCATGCTGCTAGTGAACGCGATTTTAAAACAGCTTATTCGTATTTTTATGAAGCCTTCGAAGGATATGACACTGTTAATGATAAACAAGATGCTATACGTGCTCTTAAGTATATGCTTTTGAGCAAGGTTTCATTTTACAGACTTCCATCTTTATATGTTAGTTTTGCAGCATCTTATTGGATATATCGATTATATATTTGTTTTCTCTGCACTTTTTCTTATGATGTTTCAAAGTGAACGTTGTCACAGTAATATTCTTCAGATAATGCTTGATTCACCGGAGGAAGTTTCAACAATTTTATCGGCAAAGCTAGCGCTTAAATATAGTGGATTAGATTTAGATGCCATGCGTGCAGTTGCTGAGGCTGCCAAAAAACGGTCATTGGCTGACTTCAATGCTGTATGTTTGATCTTTAATAATTTTAGATTTGTTTTTATGAGTTACACAATGTTTAAGTTACTTTTTCAGGCATTTGGAAGTTTTCGTGATGAGCTACAGTGTGATGCTGTTGTGAAGAAACACTTTAATTCTTTAAGTGATAGTATGCTCGAAAAAGATTTATGCCGGATAATTGAACCATATTCCTATGTCCAACTTGAACACATTGCTTCAAAAATTGGGCTTACTAGGGATAAAGTGGAGAAGAAGTTGTCACAAATGATACTGGATAGGAAGTTCTCAGGTAATCATATAAACATATTTCATGAATCAGAGTTTTCTGCTAGCATTCTAATTTGTGCCTAAATTGGATATTATTTGTAGGAAGCTTACATCAAGGCGAAGGTATGCTGATTGTGTATGATCTTGCTCCTATGGATAAAACATACGAGGCAGCAGTGGAAGCCATTCATGCTATGAGTGAAGTAAGATTTGTTTGAAATGCATTTGATTGTTTCTGGATTGGAATATTCGGTAAATTTTTTTTATAATTAAGAAACTGCTACAGGTTGTGGATGCATTATACCAGCGGGTGAAGAAATTAAGATAACACTGTTCTCTAACTGATGGTATCTCTGAGAAACAGTTTGCCGCCAAAACGTCCGTAATTCTGATGTAGCTTTTAAATTGTACAGTTTAGAGCTGTTTGTATACACGTCACGAAAGAGGATAAGATAAAGATGTTCGAAGTGATTGAGATAGTATAAATCTTGAATGCATAAAAATATGTGATATGGAGACTTCTTTTACTCTTTGTGTACCGGTGTTATCATTTAGATTTCATTTTTTCTTGAGAGTTATATGTAGCTTCTACTGCTGCTGGTAATCTGTTTGGTCAAGTATCTAATGAAGTATTAGTATACTGCTTTGTCATCTGTGTTTCAGAACGGCCTGTTGTGTATAACTGATTGTAATATTTCACAGTAATTATGCAGTTATGATAGTTCAGGTTTACTTTTCGCCTGCCTGCGTCTCCATAGCATTTTGATCAGTAGGCGTTTACCATTAAAATAAAGCAGTGTGTGTGTGTGTGTGTATGCTTGTATGTGTATGTAATAACCATATATGACCTCTTGAGCATATTCTTTCTGTTGTTTTTCATTTATTCATTGTTTCGCCTGGCATTTTTTAAATCCTAGCTTGTGGGATGCTTAATAGTGTCTCTATGTGTCGAAATTATCTTTTTAAATTGGCGTCATTTCATTTTTTTTTTTTTTTTAAATAAAACATGAATTATTGTGTTCGTTTGATATTATGGGTTATGACCACAGATAATACATAGTCCCCGCTTTTGCTACTAACAAACATTTTTTTGAAATCTGGAGCTTTGTTCTGGTGTATCTTGTAGTTTATCTTGATGTCGGGAATTTAGTATTACAGTAAAAAATGTGATACAATCTCTGGATGCTTTTCAGAATTTTCCTGTTTACTTCGGTTGAACCAAGAAAATATTAATCGCCTGGTTCGGAGTGTTCTTCTGCATGTCGGTAGTCGGCTTCCGTCCATGGTGCGTCGCCTGTTACCTACTTCTTCGTAATTATTTTTGGACCCATTGCTGAAAAAACCAGTAAAAAAAGTTTAGAAAGGATTTGCTTAGGTTAAGGTCGTATGTGCAACAATTGACTGACTCATGACCTGTGTCAGACCATGATGCATGATATGTGTAAACTTATTCAATATAAGTAGTATTAAAACACGTAGATTGCATTGATTATTTCTGTGATAAAGCAAAAAATCTTGATAATTACTCTTGATAATTGCTTTTAACAATTACATCCAAGTATTGGTGCATTAGTAACAACAAACAAGTGCACTGTTTTGTGATTTGTTCAAAGATGTCACTGATCGATACTGTTGTTTCTAGTATCCCGGCTACTGATGTCTATAAGTGTAACGCCAACTTCGATAGCGCTCGCCTCAATTGATCGTTTACTGGTTATTGCGGCAGAAAAGTTTGATTCCAGTAATCCAACTTCTTTGTTAGACGAGGTTCTTGTTTCGAAATTGTTACGACATTACTAAATTCCAAACATTTTATGAACTGAAAGAAGGATCTTGGGTCGAGTTTCGGGCGCCATTCCGGGTCGAATGCCGTTTTATCTATATACATGAGATATTTCGGTGCCTGTTATAAACTAGTCATATAGCTTTGTCTCGGTGTCGTCGTACAAAGACGTCAAGTGGAATTTCAACGGAACTAATAAAAAGAAATAGCTTGTAAGGATTTGACTGTTTATTATGGACATAAAATTAGAAGTTTATCTAATTGTATTTGCAACGTAAAGACGGTGTTCTGAATTGTACGGGAATTTTCTGGTTTTGTTTCGAAAATCGCGGTCTGATTTTTATTCATTTTCGGTGAAATGAATATGTTTCATTGCTTTAGTTAATGGTTTTACGATATACACAACGATTACATGCGATAATTTTAAATAATTTTTAGGGATTTTTAAATCGCATATTTGTGGCATCTTCTACTGAAAGTGGCATTGCTGATCAATACGTTTTTCGCGTATTACTTGATAATATTATAACATCGGACACATTTCTTTCTGATTGTCTACCTACTTCAAGCTCAAACACACCAGTCCGATCTGCATCTGCTAGTACTGGTACATTTCAAAAACAGACATCTACCAGTAGGCAACAGTCAGGGTCTTTGTCAGCTCGGAAGTACGATCTTCAACTGAAAAGCGACTTCTGCGTGTACGTAATTCGACAGGTTGGTGTTGTGTTGTGAAACCATTACACCGGTCAGCTTGTCATATATATTTTCTTCTCAGTAGTACTGTTTTCGGCATAAAGCGCACTTTTCCCTTTTGCTGTTTGTACCGGTAGTGGCTGTATTATTTTTTGTTTGTAGCAATTTAATGTTGGTAAAGTCTGGTTTTAATTGCTTTTTATGGCATGAATTTAACTAAAAGTTGAAATCTAGTAAAAGAATTTGCGATTTTTAAGTGCACATCAAAATTAACGTTTCTAAATCCTTTGTTTCTAAATGGTATGGGCTTACGATGTTATCTTCAACCTATTTTATATTTTGTATAGTTTACTTAAATCCGATTTTTTTTCACAGCCTTTGTTTTTGTGATTTCTTTGGTCTCCGAGAATTTATTTAGCATATTTTGATCCATAGTATTACTTAGTATTATTTTCGCATTTCTGCACTGCTTATCAAAATGACCGGTAACCGGCATATGATTTATGACATTATGCAGCATGGGAGTTTTTCTGCGTACTTCGCTTTTGGACACTTGTGTGTAAGCAAGGTATTTCTATTCATAAATTTTCATCAAGATAATAGCGCATGTTTTATTTCAGCAACTGAAAAACTGTGTCGAAGATCCAACAGCAATTTCTATACGCCTCTTTTATCGCTTTGTTGAAGTGTTAGAGGAAAGATTAGTTGAAATACGATATAATCTACTCGGACGTTTTCTTGAAACTCTTCTTGTTTCGTTACTATCCGTTGATCTTTTTATTCAAGTGCTTGTTGGCCTTACTCTTTTCTCTTCCTCACTTGTGCCACAAATTGTCAAAGGACTTGGCCAGTATCTTCGTACCACATTCACAACATTATTTGAAGCTATCAGAAAAGGTAATTTTTAAACTAAGGGGACTATAGTACTGCTTCCTTTTTATTATATAAATTGAAACAAATGTTCATGGAAAATACTATCTTCACTTCAGACAATTCAGCGATCTTTGACTGTGCATTATCAATTGAATTCATTCATCAACTTTTTACATCTCTTCTTTCAACGCAAGTTATCGAATTTGCGGCGATTGATCAACAATCTGTAATCTATTTTCTGAAAATTTTTGAAAAAGGTGTGTTTATTAGTTCAATATTTACAACCAAAAATCTTTTTGAAGTAAATTCTTATTCAAATACTTCATTTTCATGGAACCTGCTGATTAACTGTATTGCAGAGCTTAATTTACGTGGTGTTACTTTGATAAGAACTCTCTCGCCGCTTCAACTTATTTTGACATCTGTGCCAGAAGGACATTCTAAAGTACCATTATCATCAACTGGAAGTGATCATCTTTCACCTTTTGATTACGTTGATTTGGAGGATAAAAATCTTGATGAGATAATGGACAGCCTGGCTTATCAGAATCCGAACTTGCTAGCGCAGCAAATTCAGGTATATGGCTGAAATTAATGACTACCACTCACGACCATATTTAAAAATGTGTATGAAGTGTAATTAATATTGGCAATAGTTCGTTTTTTTTTTTTCACTTGCAAAAAATTTAATTCAACAGGAAATTGGTACGACATTTACATCAAGTGTGAAGTCATGTCGGCAGCATCTGATCTCACTGAATTCTGGGGATGGAACGAATTTAAATGCTGTTAATCTTTCTCGAGTTATTGTGATGATGATAAATACATGTTCCGGTTCTAATATGCAACAATCGGTCCAGTCAAGTGTTTTATGGGACCATCGTTCTGGAAGTGTTCCAGGTTTTATTTTTCTCTTTTGCACCTTTTTTTTAATCGCGGAGGAATTTCCAACTTTTCTAATCGGAAGTTACTAAAAAACACTGACAAATATTTTAGCAATTGGGACAAGTTCATCAGCAGAAAGTTTGTCGACAACCACTAGTGGTCTCTCCGAAAATTCTGCGAGCGCAGTCATAACCTCAGCATCACATTCGATGCAGCAGATAGCTTGGAATGCAAAAAATTTTGCCAACGCAGTTCGAGAGCTGGTAAGAAATCTTAAATTTTCTTTATTTTAGGTTTTTTACAGGCCTTTCTCGTCTAAAATATGGACTCTTTTATAGGCGCCAAATCTAAATTGGTCGGAAATAGTAATGCATCTCGATCAAACAAATTTTATTGTGCGAACAAAAGCGCAGCTGCAGTTATTAACTACAATTTTGTTAGAAGGTCTTGGTTCTAATCCTTTTCCGATAGGCTTGCTGTATCGTGAATGGAATTTTCATAAATACGGCCAGGTATATCATTTGACTTTTACATGATGCTATGCAGTAATATCACGATGCGCTCTGATATATTGAGAAATTTCAGCGAAATGAAATATCCATTTTAACAACATCGATAATTAGTCATAACTTTCGTAACTTCTGAGAGTCATTAGACAAATCTATAGTGGATGTTTAATGTGTGAGAGATCGAGGTCTGGTAATATGTTACACAAACACATTTTTGATGTATTTATAAACCGTATGCTATTAAACTTGGCAGTTCTATTATAATTATATAACTAATTAATTTTTTCCTTACAGTTATCGTGGATAGAACAAATATTGCAAAATCCTGATGTGTTTTGCTTTTCTGACTATCCTCACAAAACAGTGAATTTGACCCCATTGAAAGTACAACCGCAGGAAACAAGGGAATTAAGTAGCTGGTGAATATTGGAATTTTTATGAATTTCTTTTTTAATAAATTTTTTTGACAAATTTTGCGATTTGTCTGATTTTAGGCGCTGTTTGGATTTGGTGGATACGTTAATACGGTTAGGTGAAGTGAGGAAACTGGTGAATAGTGTGATGAATATTTTGCACAAGCCAACTAGTGCTTGCCCAGATGTTTTGCTTCTAGCTTTATTGCAAATGCAGGCATGTTATTCTTGAAATTCGTTCATCATGAACCGTTTTAGATTTATATTTTAATGTTTGAAATATCGGATAACCAATTTTACAACATTTTTTTAGCTGCCTACATCAAATTTGCGTATTCACTTAATGCAAATGCTCATACCAACATTGATTGGAAATCATCCCAATGCTGTCCCTGTATTAAATGTAGTTTGGAATTGCGATGACAAAGTGCAACTGAGACCAACGATTTTAACTGCTCTCTGCAGTTATTATATGAAAAACCCAGATGATCAGGCAAAATTGTCCCGAATCTTGGAAGTAGCTCATGAACTTAAACCAGATGTCAGTATTTCATCTTTATGATGTTTTTCTAACAGTTGTGATTTTTATGCATTGTGTGTGCTGCAGAAAAAATGTAAAAAAAATTGCTTTTAAGTTGAACGAGTTATTATTACTAGGCAGTTTTGGAGAAGAAGAGAAGAATTCATAATTCTTTTTGGGATTGATGTTATTTCAGTCCTCTCTCGATTACTAAATATTGATATTTAGCACCTCTTGTTTGCATTAAACGATATTAGTAGAACTAATAATCTTTTTTTTCCTTTTTTTTGGATGAACTAATTAGAAGTTGGAAAGAAAGGAAAACCTTCATTTAGTGTGAATTATTCCGAAATTTATGATGTAACCGGACCTTTTTACGGAAGTATAAGGTCATTATGGTTGCATTCTATTGTAAGAAGTGCATATTTTCATTTTAGGGTTTAGCCGAACTATTCAATGTGCCACAATTTCCCTTTACAATTGATTTGGCTTGTCTGGCTTCGAGAAGAGATTTTTTAAAATTGGACAAATGGATTGATGATAAATTAGCAGTTTATGGAGTGAGATTTAATTTTTCGTTTAACTACACTAAAAGATACGAAGATTGGCTCTCATGCTACAGAATAGTAATGATGAGTATAGTAAATTCTTGATTTTCATATTCTTGAATTCCGTTAATCCTGTCGATTGTAGGATGCGTTTGCCTCGCAGGTTATATGTTACATACGTCGTCGGTTACCAGCGGGCATGGTTAATAGTAGTGTTTTACCACAAGAGACCATGAGAATGCTACTAAATGCCCTTTCACGGACAACTTGTATGTCTAGTGCATCAATCAATGATTTATCCTCGCTTTGCTGTCAAATACCTGGGGTTCGTTGATAGCTTTTTTTTTTTTTTCTTTTGTTAATTGATTTGAAGTAGGTATGCATATGGGAATGGTTCAACTAATAAATGTTGTCATTTACTTTTCACTTGGAAAATATCCCTTTAATTCTTGATAGAGAAATATCGTATTTTTGATCAGGTTGAATCACTCTTCTGATATGTGGAAAACACTGCATTGGGATTATGGTATTTCTTGTTATTTTAAATATCAGTTGCTTGTTAATTTAGAGAATGTAAAGCAGTGTAAATTCTCATTAGATAATGATAAATTCGCAGGAAATTTATCAGAATTATCAGAAAATTATCAGAATCTTCAAAATTAACTTCACATTTTGTAAACAGCTGAAAAACGGTGAAGGGCGTTTGTCAGCCATTTCAACGTCTCGAACTCAGTTAAACGCCGCTGGAGCTACGCATTCATCAACATCGAATATGTTCACTAGCGGTATAGGGACACCATCAGTGCCCGTGCAGCAACCTTCCAGCAGTTTTGGTAACTTTCCTTTCGGAACAACTGGATTTGGTGCATCGAATAGAGATATGCTTGGTAATGATTTTTAGAATTTTCCAAGATTTATTTGTGAGATATTTTTAACTAAAATAATCATGCTTAACAAATATTTTACAATATTTTAAGCAGCTGCACAGCAAATGCAAAATCGACAACAACAACAAGGGAACTTGCCTGGATCAGTGCAGATTTTTGGGACCAATGCAGGGACAAATCTTTGTGTACCAGGCTCTAATACTGGACCATTTCCTCAGGCAAATGAATTACTTAAAGTGAGTATAATTTTTTTCTTCTTTTTTTTTTCACCGTTGAAAGTTTTTAGTGGTACAGGAACAAATCTTTGTGTGTAACTTGTAGAACAGTTTTATTCTGAAGATTCAACGAGGAGTGTTGTTAGCAATACTGATGGTATCAAATTATTTTATAAATGCGGGGCTTAGATCCAACCAATTTAAATGTATTTTCTTGAAATGTCTGGCACATTTTCAGGCAACAAATGCAACCAATGTTTTGCAATCAAATTTTAATGGAAGTCACGCTCTGTCGATGTCACCATCTGGACAGATGATGAGGACAAGTTTTATGAGTAGTGGAGTATCAACAACACAGTCGCGGCCAGGACCTGGAGCTGGAGGTTCTGGATGGAGTATGCCAGTAGGCATACCAGGTCTAAATTGTATTTGAACTTTTTAATCTATACTACTTTGATGAATTTTATTTGTAACAGTTTGACTTAATTGCGAAGCGGTATGAGACTTTTGGCTGATAATTTTTGCAGCGAAGTTATCTGCCATTATTATCATATGATAGTTAAGTTATAAAAAGATGATATTGAGGTGCAAGATTACTACATACCAATTAAGCGGTCTTTTTTCCGCAGCTAGTGCGAATTTATTTTGGTGTTTAATTGTGTCAATATGAGGAGGTATGCACTGAGTAATCAATTACTCTTAGTAAAAATATTTTCATTTTACATACTCTTAAAAAATTATATGTTTTGATGATTCATGAATAACGGAATCACTTTTTTATTGTTTAGTTCCATTCCTATGTAGCCTAAAATGCATTCTTTAGTTGCTTTTTACGTACCACTTGAATTCCATACTTATAACTGTAGGTACTGGTGGTGTACGAACAACATCGGGATCAAGCAGTGGACCTTCGTCAACTCTCGATTTCCGCATGCCACCTGGTGCTCCGGGTTCAGCAGGTCGGCCAATATTATTTGTTTTTTGTGTCGTATTAGTATTTTTTTCTTTTTTTTTTTTTTTTTTTTTTTTTTTTTTTTTTTTTTTGTGAAGATATTTACTAAGATATATCCACAGTTTCCCCAAGCCAAGAAAATTCTTACTCTGTCACATGTTGATTTTAAAAGCAGATCGATTCAATAACAGGTTAACGGGGCTGTTTGAACATTGGTATCGTAAGCTTCCATTGTTGCCGATCTTTTTGCAGCCTTTGGTAGTGTTGCTATTAATTTCGAATCCCAGGTCATATGCAGCAGTTAGCACTATAGTTGTGCAGAATAATCATTTTTTTTTGATGCTTTCAGGAGGTGTGCTGAATGGAAGTAGCTCATTTGTACATAATGCAGCTGGACAGCAGCAACAACAACAACCTAGTGGAGGCTCACCAGGCCGTATTACTGTACCCCCTGCACCTATGGACGATCTTACATCTGTACAGTTCAGTGAAGAAATTCAGAATGAAGCAAATATGTATTTTCAACAAGTACTATGTTTTTGCTTTTTCCTGATATATAAGTCCAAAAAAAAATTATATCAATGGGTTTTTTTTTTTTTTTTTTCATACATATGTTAAAGTAATTCATTCAATATCGAATACCAACCGCTTTCTCTTTTTTAATGTTTTATAGTTGTTTCCAATAACTATGGGAAGATTTTCATATTTTTCATAATTCTTTTTCTTTGCATAAAATCTTTAAAGGCTTTTTAGTGAAAAGCTGATGATGAATAGGTGAATCAGTATGTTAGTATATTTCTGAGAGTGAGTGCAAAAATATTGAAATTGCTGAAATTTTAGTCAGAACTGTAGAACACTTTATTTTATAGATATATTCTCAACATATGCAAATGCCGGTCGCCGATTTTGTCGAACGTTTAAAACAATTTAAAGCATCAAATGTGCAAAGGGACAAGGTTTTTCTTTCACATTAGTTTTGTATTTGTTTGTTTGTGTTCTGAACGCTGATGAGACAGTCCCATTTATAGGATATTTTGGCATGTGTGGTCAAAAATCTGTTTGAAGAATATCGATTTTTTCACGAGTATCCTGAACGAGAGTTGAGAACAACCGCGGAAGTTTACGGAAGCATTATTCGTGAGGGTGTTATCTCGTATGTTTCTTTTTATTTACTTTTCAATAATATCATCTTTGACATTTATGAGGTTTTTGTCATTGACTGTTCTTCCTTTGGTAACATCTGAGCTTCAATAGGGAATTAAAAAAAAGTCATGAGGTGGTCCGTTCCTTAAATTGTTAATTTTTGTACCATTTATGGGACCAGCGGAGTCTTGAATTTGCTATACCAGCTGTAATTGTCAAATAACAAAATTTCTGAGATACGTGTTTGATAAAACTCATATTATAGGAACTTACAATTTGCCACTGCAGTGAGGAAGGTTATAGAATCATTGCAAGCAGAACCAGGTAGTATGCTTTGGACATTTGGAATCGTAGCACTGAATGCATGTCGAACAAAATTGAGTTTGTATCCCAAAGTATGTGTCATGATTGCTAACCAACGGAATTTTCAGCATTTTCCACAGAATTTAAAGGTATAGTATTTGATTTGTTAAAGTAATGAAGTTTTTACGTTTTTATTATAAAAAAATGAAAATATTATCTTGATGGGTTTGAAAGAAATGCAGTATTTTGTTTTAGAACTTTTCTGGTTTTTTGGGTCTTGAAATTTTTTTTTTGATAGTTTTCAGGGTATCATCAATACGAGAGAAGCACATTTCATTGAAATGATTACGATAAATTGTTGAGCTAGTATATTTGTTTAGGATTACGTGACCAGTGGTATACAGGGACAGCAACCACATGTTCCTGGTCGCGAAACACCAAGTTGGCAGCCGCAGCAGCGAACAACAACTGATATGAATCGAGCCTTAGCAGCACGTTCCGTATGGCTTTGTAGTTGTAACTATTTGGGTTAATGAACTTGAAGATGAACTAGTTCACTGTTTCTTTGTAACACTTTAATTTATTTCAGGGTTCATCGGTGTTGTCTGTTACTAGTGTTGACACACTAGTTAATGCGACTGAAAAAGAAGGTAGTCAAATAAAACAACCACCAGAAACTGTAATGGAAAAAGTTGCATTTTTGTTCAATAATTTGAGCCAGATCAATCTTCCGAAAAAGGTAGATTTTAATGGCTATGCTTAGAATTAAATATAATAGATTTTTATTCATGTAATTGAATTTGACTTTTCGCACCTCGTCAGGTCGAAGAAATAAAAATTATGATCGAAGAATTGGATGATGATTTCATCCGATGGTTAGCACAGTATTTGGTAATGAAACGTGTTAGTATTGAGCAGAATTTTCAACCTCTCTACAATCTATTTCTTTTGGCAATTGAAAACAGAAAGCTGGAAGAATTCGTGAAACTGGAAACTTTTAGGAACATAAAGGTACTGTTATTGATCACAATTGAAAACTTGCTGTAGTTTTGTCAAGGCTGTAACAGGTATACTGAATATTTCAATGATGGCTTTTCTTAAACATGGCATCGATTCATTTGATTTCATGTAGCTGTAGTGTAGGGGTCAGACATCCCTGAAGCCAATATTAAAGAGCATTTGTGCCAAGAGCACACGTTATACGATAACAGCTGCTTGATCGAGAATTTGCTACAGTTTTAACTCTGGGAATGTTTTGACCAAATTATTGTTTGCCATACTACATTTTATATGAAATGTGTTCTAAAGTGTCGAGAAAGGTTTTTTTTTCTATAAAGCAGTTATGGCCAAAGCACTGTGTAAACATATGTTAATAAAAAAGTGGAATTGTTTAACTTATTCTTTATACTATAATTTAGATAACATTTTATTTTTTGTTTGAGATACTCTTACGAAGTGATAAGCGACAAGCAGCGACGAATTTCGGTGATAGGCAGTTATTAAAAAATCTCGGTTTATGGCTCGGTGCGATTACAATTGCCCGCGACCATCCTGTTGTTACATCGGTACTAGTTTTATCACACTATTTGGAATTTTTTTTTGTGAAAATGTGTTTGTACACTAGCTGTGATCGGTTTTAATTTAAGGATTTGGATATGAAATCTCTTCTTATGGAAGCTTATTACAAAGGACAGCAAGAACTTCTATTTGTTGTACCCTTCATTGCAAAAATTCTTGTCTCTTGTAGCAAAAGTCAGGTATGTCTTTCTGGTCATTCAGACTTGACCAAAATGATTTTTTTCAAAGTATCTTCTTCATTTTATATAGCACCTTACTGTTTGTAGATCTTTGGCCCAAACTGCGCGTGGATAAAAGCGATTTTCAAAATTTTGGCGGAGCTTCATAATCAACCTGATTTGAAATTAAATTTAAAATTCGAGATAGAAGTACTCTGTAAAGAATTGGGTGTTGATTTGAGCAAGCTAACAATAGAAGATGTGCTCAAGGATACCGAACGCTTGATAAGGCTTCCGCAACAATTAGGCGACCTAAAAATGTTAAAACCACCTGAACTGCAGGTATCTGTTGTCAGCTGAAAAGTTTTATTCCTTGTTGGTAAAAAATTACATTTTCAAAGCAAAAAGTTTTCATTAACTTATTTGAATTGGGATTACAGTTTAGTGATCAGCATACAACATTATTTATATTATAGTAACTGACTTTCAGATGGCGGCTTCACCTATCCCAACAGTACGTTCCAATTCTGAAACTTCTGCAGAAATTGTTGTGGCAGGTATATCACAAACAGCAACTACTGATGTTGATCATTTAATTGGCAATTTATCAAGCATCACTATGCCGAGTAAAACTTCTTGCAGCATAACTTTAGATTTGATCAGTTTTAAGTATAGAGGGAAAATTATTGGGATATAGGGATTCATCCCTCAGTCGTCCTCAATTTCCACGCGTTACAACTGGCAAGATTTCATTACTTGAAAGTGAAATGAGTTCTTGTCGTCTTTCTTACCAAAATTTTTTTTTAGAAGAAACTTGTAATGAGTTCTTGCCATTGATTACGGTAAATTCAACATTATCAATAAAGATATCGATAATTGCATTAACCTTGATGTTCGATTTTGTAAGCGTTTTTAGATTTTAAACGGGAACAAACTATAAGTTACTGAAGTTAACTTTCTCACCCTTCTTAATGCAATAAGTTGTTATTTTTTGTCTGTAGCGGAATGTTTAAGTATATTTATTTTTTGCAAGAGGACAAAAAGCAGAATGTACATACCAAAGAGTAGATGTGCTTTCCAAATCAGCATTGCTTTATAATCTAGAAGGTATCTTCATGTCTTTTTCCTCTTTCGGTTCATTTTCTTAAGGTTTTGAATCTTGTTCTTCAAACCTTTTGTGCTGTGCATTCTGCTAAAGTTTATTTGAGTTTATATGAAACGTAACATAGTTTTTTCAACACACAATTTTTTAATATTCAGGAAGCCAATCTCCAAGTGGTGCACAAGTGCAAACACCAGCTCATTTTCACTATCACGATATAAACATTGTTTCCTTTGACGGTCTTACACCGCATTTAAAATTATCAGCTTCATTACCTCTGTTTCAGGTTAATTTTGTCTTCCATTTTTGTTTTTGCTTCGAAATATAAAAATATATATATTGTTTTAGAAAATATAGGGTAAATTTATTTTTTTGCATTGAAATTTTAGCTGAATCCGCAGTTGAAACACGTCGTTCGGCCAGCAATTAGTCACGCAATTAAAGAATTGATTGGACCCGTTACTGAACGAGCAATTCGGATTGCTATGCATGTTACAGAACATATATGCAAGAAGGTAAACTTGGATTGTTTTGGTGCTTTTCTTTCCTTGTCTGTTTTACTATTTTACTGCTTTCGCATACAGTTATTTCATTATTCTTATGAGCGCAAGATTACAGGATTTTGCACTGGAACCTGACGAGCAAAAAATACGCCGTGCCTCACAACATATGATTCGAGCAATGACAGCGGGAATGGCATCCATAACATGTAGAGAACCGTTGTCTTCAACTATTCTGGGATTTCTTAAAACAGCATTCACTAATTCTTTGCGGTGCAGTATTACACCAGAACAGGTAAATGATTTTATAGTAAAGATAAAAAAAATTTTTTTTTCTTTTTTTTTACAGCAGAAACTAATCGATGAAGCTGCCACGACGATTGCGGAGGATAACGTAGAATTGGCAACCAATTTCATAGTTAAGACAGCATGCGAAAAAGCGACTCCCGAAATGGATAAACGCCTTGAATCTGAATTTGCTACTAGAAAGCAGTATCGCCTTGAAGGTCGACAGTACGCTGATCCTGTTGCTCTTGCACGCGCTCAGCAGATGCCAGAAAAAATACGACTTCGCGTTGGATCGATGACAAATCAGCAGATGGTTGTTTATGATGAATTTTCCAGGTATTTAGAACTTTCTGGGTCACATGTGGACAATGAGAAGATAGAAATAATCTGATTAGTTTAATTTTATAATGGCAGGAAATTTTCAGCCGGATTTGTGGTTTCAAACCAACGACGGCCGAAGATATGATAGTCGATTTCAGTGTCATGAAATCGTCTACTCCAACTGCCATGCAGCCAGTGGTTCAGCAGGTATGGTGTTTACAATTTCACGTTCCGAAATAAACTTTGTTGCGTTCCTGTCATTCAAGAAATTGTGTAATGATTTTTATAAATTCTTTGAGGATATTACAGCGATTTTTATAGCCTGGAATGGACAAGGAAGTGGAACAGTTTGTAACAGCTTTGCAATTACTTGTGCATGACATTGATTCGATATTATCAGCTTATGGTATACCAAACTATCGTGCAAGTGCTGCAGTTGCTAATATTCGTGACGCAATATCGCAGCTGGCATCAAATCCGCGTGAACCAATCCAAATGCATAACTGCATACAGCGTATTGTTGAACAAGTCTTGTGTGCCTACAGAAATGCAGATTTTCAGCAACATCAGTTGTGTATGTTTGGCAGTCTTTATTTGTCTTTCATAATATGCATGTCTTAAATGCTTGTAATAACTTGTAAATGGTAATAGAAAAAAGTAGTAATGACCAAGTGTGACTGAATGTTATCTTTTCTTGAGGTAATGGAATATTCTTGGTATTCCAAACTCTGTATTATGATTTTGTACTTAAACTTTAAAAGTATAGCTAGCTAGAACTGATCAGTCGAAAATATATCAAATTATGTTGTAAATTGTCACGCAGAAGACCGTTGCTTTGTTCTGATATTAGCCATACATGTGCTAAGTAGTCTCTGAAGTTTATTATATGCGTGTTGTTTGCTATCCATGTAAGCGTCTTCCTAAAATATTATAGACATTCTGCAATTGTGCTTGAAAAGAAATTTTTCTACTTGGTTTGTCGTTTTAGCACCTCCGGAAATAGACTGGAATCGCAGATTAAAGGACGTCTTTCTTCAATTGTGTCGTATCCTACTAACACAGATTCCTCTGGGAGATTTAGCCCGTCGTGTGACTCGAGTCATTGTGGATTGTAGACTAGATTATCGATTCAATGTTGATGCTATGGATTTGCTTGCCAAACACATGTTGATTCAAATGAATGTTTATGATCAGAATTTGGCTATGTTGATCGATAGCGGCAGCAATTTTGAAGTTCTTTTTTTTTTCTTTTTTTCGGTAGTCTTAACCGTCACTATTGTCATTTTTTATATCAACTAAAATAATGCCATATCAACTGATCCTATCCAGTTAAGATTCATAAATTCCACGATGATTCTAATATGGTTTTGACATTTCTTGTAATTTGATATCGTTTAAAAGCAAAAGTGAAGTATGTGATAATTTTCAGGTATTCTTTGGAGGTTGGTGATTGAGAAATATTGATATAGTTTATCTTGTACCAGTGTGAATATTTTCTAACATTTTTTCTAACAGCTATTTCTTCTAGGCTTTAATATTTGCTCAGCGCTTTTTAAAATTGTTAACAATGAATAATCCAACACATTCGCGGCAAGCGGTTTCTGAATCAATGCCCCTTACGATGGAACAACTAGCTAAGGCACAGCAATTCGGACAGAATAGACCAACTCCTGAAAGGTGCAATGATCTTTTTTGAGTAATGTAGTGTTCCTAGTTTCTGTGACTTATGTGCGAAACATTTTTGATAGTTCAGATTTGTAAAAATAATAATAAAGTTTCAGCTTTGCAACTGCGACAGTGCCACTAAATAACGAAGTGGCACTTATTGGTTCACGAAGTGTTGCATCGCTCCCACCACCTTCAACCATTGCTGATCGTGTGCACAACAGTTTACCAGCAGCACTTGTTGCATCGGTGCCACTATCTGGTCCAGTTGGAGGTAGTACTCATCTACGGGGTGATAATATGGAAGATGGTGCTGAGTTGCAAAGCAAGGTAGAAATGATATTACGAGAATGGATACAGCTTTGTTACACACCGCAAGCACAGAAGGAACCCCAACAGGCTCTTGCACAAATTGTTCATGTAGTAAGACAATTTTCTATTTTTTACATTAATTAAAGGAAGAAAGTGTATATTAAAATTCTGTGGTTGGCAAAAATTTTGTATATTTGTATTGATTTTTAATCCACAAATTTTAAATTAAACACTAATTCAACCACAGAATTCTGTACTTAACTAGTGTTATTGATAAATTTCTATGTCTTATGTGAAATGCAGATTATTACTTCATTTCCAGAATATGAACTTCAAAGTTCATAAACGCGGGAAATCTTGAATAGCTGTTTCAATCACTGATTTTATCCTCAAATTCATTAGTTGAAACTTGTATATTTCTAGATGCATGAGCAAGGTGTTATATCGACAGATGAGATGATCACACGATTCTTTCGTTTATGTACCGAAATGTGCGTTGATGTATCATATAGGCTAATAAAAAACGACGTAAGCAGTCATCCGACGACGGTTGTACGACAACGATGCTATTATACACTTGATGCTTTTGTCAAACTCACATGGTTGGAAATTGAAACGCAGACTGTTGAACTTTTATCTTCTTTGTCTTCTTGTACATCATCATTTTGAAATTTGATTTTACAGTTTGATGATCAAACACAGCGATGGGAGTCAATACCAAACGAAAATTAATCTCTTGAAGAAAGTATTGAATATCATCACCAACGTACTGCATCTGGACCATGAGGTTGTTTTACGATTTTTCTTCCGTAAGCTATGCATGCTGAGGAATCTTCCTGAATTTTACAACCAAAGTTAAAAAGGAAAGAAAAATACTATTAACTTGATCTCTACTTTTAATCTGGAAATCGACACGAAAATATAAAATTCCTGCTTGATATTTTCCTGCTCTAAGACAGATGCCTTAAGCAATATTAGTCATGAATATAGCTGATTTTCGTAGGATCTCAGCAAATTGCGATAATAGATAAGAAATCATTGCTTATTGTATTTTTATTCCGTTCGTGCTCATGTCATTATGTTTTCTTTTATCTTCGACTGTAATAGTTTACTGATTTTGATCTATACTCGATTTCTTATTTAATCTAATTTTTTTTTTTTTGATGCAAGTATTGCCCTGAAAACAGTTTTCACTTTAGGTCCGCGGTACTGATTTTCATTCGATGCCATATCAGCGTATCCTAATCATCATGTTCAATGAACTTACCGCACCTGATCCTACTTTGGATGTCATTTCATGGCATATTTTAGAGGCTTTTGGGTAATATTTCGAAAAACTTTTCATTTACAAGGCTGTTGTCTCAGCAGATTAGAATATTGCTTATTGTTACAGACAGGCTTTATTTATCCTACAGCCGCGACGAGTTCCGGGTTTTGCTTATGCTTGGTTAGATATCATTGGACACAGAAACTTTATTGGGAGGCTACTGAAGGAAAGCACAGAACCGATGAAAACAGCTGCAATGTACACTCAATTGATCATATGTCATTTGAAGTTCTTAGCTCCGTTCTTGCGCAATATTCAGCTCCCAAAATCGATTGCCATGATGTATAAGGTATGATTTTTGAGTTATGTCCCTATTATTGCTAAGGCCACTTCCTAAACCCATTATTGATCTGCCCTTATTTGGTTAAATCTCTTTGGCCTTACGTTTCGAAATAGAAAAATCCTCTACTGAGGAGTCGTGGCGTATTTAGAGTTAAGGCAATAGAGATTAATCATTTCTTACTTTTGAAATTATAATTGAGCCTAAATTATTTGACAGTTGGTATCAACGATTCAAACCATATTTTGATGACTTCATATTTAGGGTACGCTTCGCGTTTTGTTAGTGATTCTGCATGATTTCCCAGAATTGCTATGTGAGTATCACATCGTTATCTGTGATACAATACCGCCGAACTGTGTTCAGCTGCGCAACCTTGTGCTTAGTGCTTACCCGAAAAATATGCGATTACCTGATCCGTTTGGTTCAAATTTGAAGGTAATGTTTTTTATGTTTTCTGAAATTTTCTGTTCTTTTTGACGTTGATATACATATTATATAATCGATGTTCGCTTCTTACAGGTTGATAGTTTGCTAGAAATGACTCAAGAACCAAAAATGAATATTAATATGGCTGCAATCATTCCGCCTGATCTAAGAACGCAACTGGATGATTATTTAAATACTCGCTCATCTGTTGATTTTCATGCTAACTTGCCAAGTTTGTTACAGGTAGTTTTTATTTTCGTAGATTTTTTTGGTGGTCTGGATCGTTGCAGTACCTTTTTCTCTCTTTATTTCTCGAGGAATAAATTCAATTTCAGGTTAGTAACATTGCTGGTTCGAAATATAATACAACCGTTATGAATGCAGTTGTTATATATGTTGGAATGCGTGCAATTCAAGCAATTCATGAGAAACAGCAATGCATTACAATGACTACAATCGCACACACAGCATATATGGATATTTTTCAAAATCTGGCTGTTAGCTTGTGTACTGAAGGTTTATTTTCTTGAATCTGTTGGCCATAAAGTTTACTTTTTAAAAATATGTTTTCTGATTTGTTTTTTTTTCTTTTTTTATTATCTTCGGATCAAATAAAGATATAGATATCATTTAGGACGATATTTGCTGTTCAACGCTATAGCAAATCAGTTGCGTTATCCGAATAGCCACACGCATTATTTCAGCTGTACCCTGTTATATCTATTTTTAGAAGCAAATACTGAAGTAATACAGGAGCAAATTACGCGGTGAGCATTTTCAAAAAAACATAGATGCTAACCCAATTGCACTTCCGTAATATCGTGAATTTTTCTTTAAGCCTTTAATTTTTTCACTAAGAATGAGATCTTTCTTTTCAGAATTTTGTTTGAACGCCTCGTTGCATTACGCCCACATCCGTGGGGTTTGCTGATTACATTCATTGAGCTGATCAAAAATCCAAGCTATAGTTTTTGGAAACATGAATTTGTGCGATGTGCTCCAGAGATTGAAAGGTTCTTATTTAATAAATTTACAACAAGAAAGTGAAAAAGAAGATGGAAAATGCTAGACAGGAAGAAATCCTCTGAGTATGCAGCTTATTTATCTTATTTGTTCGCTGTTTTTTTTTGCTGTTGTTAGTTTCCAGGCACTGTTTCATTAATATCCAAGACGATGAGTTAGCAACAACTGATGATCGGTACCTACCAGTATTTTTTAGATCGATATCGTTTTAGATGATAGAATATACCAAGAATAATATCATCCATCAGTATGTCGTAGTGTATGTTCCATAAAGATTGGAGATTTTTATCCATTTGTTACATACACAAAATTCATAATAAAAAGTGATAACCCTTAAGCAAAGTACATGTGTAGTGCTGTAAAGAGACATGCAAGGATTTAAAACAGTTTTGATTGATTCGTTAGTCCGGAGGCTTCGTATTTCCCTCATTATCAAAACCACAAAACCTAGACTTGTGTTTCAGATTTCCAAATCACGAATCGGACTATTATTTCAGGCTTTTCCAAAGTGTGGCAAATTCTTGCATGGGTTCAAATGCACGCCACATAAATGCAAATGCACCACATACATCGCAATTACCAGCAGGCAGCAGCCCGCAAACTATACAGCAGTGAATGATCTCTGCATTTATTTCAAAATGAACTTTGTTTTTTTATGCTACGTTTGTACCTTAAAATAATTTTTTAGGATTGAAATCCTAGAGATTTCACATTATAGAAGTGATTTTGATTTTCTATTATCCCGAAGATCATGTTTAGATGCCAAAGTTTTGGCTATGCTTGCTGGTGTAAATTTTAAAAAAAATACAATTCTCTTGCCTATTCCAGAATGTTTTTTTCGTTATGCCTGTTACTATATATGTTGCATTTATTGGGTGTTCGATACTTGATTGTCATCTTTTACATATATGTCTAGGCTATACTTTTGTTTGTTTTTCTTTTTTTTATCCTTCCATGTGAATTTATGGCCAACTGGCTGTTTTATATGCTTTAGCAAAATATCTTTTTATTCTGAATTGCCATGGAAATGCATGGAAACTCTGTTTTCTTTTTCTCCAAGATTCAAAATTTCAAAATATATATTTTCAACCGAAGCGAGAGGTTTAGCTGGAGTGCACAAGCTGGTGTTGGGCTCTATTATTTTTCTTAAAATTTGTGTTGTCGACCCTTGCAAGATTGAACGGGTTTCGGGTTCACTCATTATGTTAGAGGTCACTGCATTGTGTTTAGCTCATCTTCTGGTTGAACTTATATCCTTACTTTATATGTTTTTGATTTTCTTTATTTCTTTTCGTTTTAAACATGTACAGGCAATAGACGGCAAGAGGCATTTTCTTATTCGTAATTTGGCCTGTCTTTGTTGATTCTTACTTTCTCATCATCTTTTTTCTTGTCAAATTTTTATTTTCATTGAACATTGTTTTATATTTCTTATACTTTTCTGCTCTAATCGTTCTTTTGTTTCTTTGTCGTCTATTGTGCTTAGCAGATTTTACATATTTTTCAGATTCACTTTGAGATTTGTGTGTGTAAAGTTGTAATAGTATGTTTTATGTTCGTGTTTCTTCGCTAAAATTACTTATCTATGTGTATCATTTTTATCAGTAAAGTGTGGTGAGATTGCGTGGTGAAAGATCGTAATTTAATCGTGAGATCTTGGATTGAAAACTAGGTAAATTAAACCTGTAAGTTATGTTTGTGTTTCCAGGATATTTTTAGTGATATATGAGGAAGATATGGGTTGGAAGAAAAGAATAGAGGGAGGGACTGCTGCTATATTCGCCTTCTAGTGAGTTAGTAAAAGTGTAGCATTAGCTTTTAGGATAGCATTTTATGTCATATGAGTCTTATGTAAGCAAATCCTTATTGTACAACCACAGTTTTTTGCACAGCTTTGAGCATTTGAAATGCATACAAAATGAAGAAATTTACTAGAAATATCTCGAAAAAAATTCACATTGGTTAAGAGATATATACTAAATATTAGTTGTATAAGACAGATGTTATTAGTGTCTTTTCTAAATATTTTGCATATAAAATAATTCGTGAGAATAAGGAAAGTTCACTTCCTGATTTTGCAACTTCTCGAAATATGTTAACATAGCAGGCGGTTCCCTCAATACAAAAACTTTAGAAATCTTTGGTCAGATGTACTACAAATTATGGGTCACAATTAAGAATTGCTTATTACATGATAACCGATAATTTTCCTCCATAATAGCTTGAAGAGATGTATGCTGAATTTTGCAAATTTACCAGCCGACGATTGATTTTCAGAGATCGGTAAGGCATCAGGCTATGCCGTGAGAGCTTCTTCCAAAAATTTTCACCAACAATATGGATATATTAATCAGAAAATTAAAAATGCTAAGGAGGAACCCATAAAGTTTTTTTTTTTCTGTTTTTTTCTTCCCTAACAAAATTTGGTCAAATTATATACAGTGATAAGAACATAACTTTTCATCCTGCTTTTTCATCTTTGATGCTTCTCTGTGGTATGTAAAGTGTTAGGCTAGGTTGTATTATTTACATATGCTTGTAAATTTATCGTAAATGAATCAGATTTGCCTTGCATCGAATTGTTTCTCAATATTCGATGAAAGCTACTGTAGACGTTTGAATTGGAAATGTTGTGAGAGTCAATTCTGCTGCCGGTTAGCAATCCTGATGTGAATTTGCTTTTTGCCAAAAGTCAGTCTGTCAGGAAATTTGCCTCCAATTTATGTTAATTCAATTAAATTGAATTGCTGTTATAAAAGGTGAAACAAAACTCCAGTGGATAACATTTGATGTTTCGTTTCAACATCTTTGAAATATCATATTTGAAAGAATTACCGCACCTTCATTTCTCTTGAACTAAAATCAAAGTTTTCATATAGTGATGGCTTGAATTCATCGACTGATATTATAAAATAATCTTATTTGTCTCTTTGTTTTTCACTCATTTCTACTGATAAATAAATCTTTATGCTAGAGATTCATTACGCATATTATTTTTGAAATTTGCAGACAACTTTCGGCAGTCTCATTGGAATGCTTGCCATGTAAACATAATATTTGTTCGACATGTATGGAAGAATACAAAATATTGCCCATTCCCGGTTGTCTGTATAAATTCCATAAATAAAAGATATGACATAATCTATCACTAACTTCTAAATTTCACCTGTAACCTATTTTTTTTCTGCAGAAAGTGACCGATGTTTTAGTTTACCCAACGGAAGATTGTTCAGGAAAAACATCTGAGGTGGATGAGTCCAATCTGTGCGACCGTATATGTAAAAAATACGTGGAAGAAGGCAAATACATAACGACAAGTTGCTGTCAAGCAAAAATATGCTCCGCTTGTTTCGAGACTATTTCCGGTCGTAAATATTCAACAGGTACTGATTTTGATCATTCCAAGTTGCTTGTTTTGAAGAATCTTAACAAGATTTCAATTATTGAGGATATGTAATACTTCACAAATTTATTGATTCATTTTTAGTGTTTTAAGGAGCTTTTATGACGTGCAGTCTTACTGTTATAAAAAGAAGTAGACCTTTTAAATTTAAAATTCACTGTGTTTTCCGGAAAATGTTTTTTGAAACGAAATAAAATATCCTTTTCAGGTGTTGAAGAAAGGTGTCCTTCTACTGAATGCCTTAGACATGCTGACGTTAGTGGAATTGAATCGAAATATTTGCTCCTTCTTATTAATTATCATGACTGAAATTGTCGATAAATTAAGAAATTATCTATTCTCAAGAAAGATCAGATTACCAAAAATACTGATAGTTTAAAACAAACTGATTACTGTAAAAACAAAATTCTAAAAACGAAATTTGAGTAACTGCTAGCCTCTCTTTTTTAAAATAAGCGTAGTTAATCCAATGCGATACATACCTATCAGATAGCTCGATGCCAAGCTGAAGTCAAATGTAAAAACTTGCCAATTAGTGGATTCCCGTCAAAAGATGAATGCGAACACGCTATGTGCATTCAATGCCTGGAGAAGATGATCGATAACTGTGAATCTGCTGGTTAATCGTGCCATTTTTTATACGAACTTTGGACAACACCATAATTACTACACGCATCACTATAATAGTTTTTTTTTTTCGAAATGATTTTTTACAAACTTCCTCTTCACAAAGACGAGAATTAAGGTTCTCTACCACGTTGTCCTAACGAATCATGCAATGCGTTGTATAATGTGGAATCCGTAATCGCAATGCGTGCAATGCTACCGGGAAAATCGGCATTCTTCAATAAACTTTCACTGGATAATAACTACTATTACTTGATCAAGGATGAAATAGTTACTGTTAGTAATGATACAGTTCTACTCTCGTTAAATACTAGGCTTGTAATAATTACAGCAATATATGAATGTGCTGGAATTATGATTTATGTTATTGCCAAGAGATTCCTACATTATTTAAAGGAGTATATACTTATTAAAAGTATATTTCCCTTCTTTCAGCCAATAAAATTTTCTGCAAATTTTAAATCGGTACAGAGATATTGTGAAATAGATGTTAAACTAAGCGATGGTACTGAAAGTAGGAAACTTCCATTCGATCGAATAGGAACAATTGCTGAAAAGATCACCTAGCCTAACATTATATTGTTTAATCTAACCCTCTAACTTTTTTATAACACTTGTCAAATATTTCTTCTACTACAGCAGCATTGAATATTCATTAATTGAAACAATCAGTTTTTTTTTTCACCAAAAAGTTATAATTACTACTTTCCAATGGACTTAAAAATTGATATCAACATTATAAAGTATTATAAGCAAGAATTTCTCTATTCCTTTGATATTTAAATATGCAGAAATTAAAAGATATTAACTGAGACGAAGAATATAAATAATTCTCCGTCTGGTTCATTTATTTGTAAAATTAGTCCATCGGTTAGAAATCTTCCACGTCTGTAAAGTGTGAATTGTAATACATCATCTCACGTTCACAACTTGTTTATTTTCAAATTTTGCAATAAAACAATATTTTTTTTCGAAATATTCAAATTTACTTACTTATAATTTTAAGAGCAGTCTTTTCAAAAATTTTAAGAGCAGTCTTTTCTTTTGAAAACAAAAGTAGTATTGGAAGTTTTATATGTTTTGTAGTAGCAAATAATAGTGGCGACAAATAGGGGATGAACAACAGCAAACAAGCATCACCTTTGCCGCCGCTTATATCTCCGCTAGCTCATTCATATGCACCTTCGCCACCACTTCCAATTCCTCCATCATCTCCAGCATTTGCCCCTCCAATTCCAAAAGGTACCAATCAACAGTCGCAATATGATTGCTTAAAAAACTTATGCAAACAGCATTTAGGCATTTTCAATAACATTTGATTTTAATTTTAATTTTTATAAAAGAAACATTCATTACGAATTAATTCTACGAAAATAGTCCAAATGCAACTAATTCCAATGGTATATATTTCACATATCTTTTCGCTAATAGTCTTTTCCTAATAGTTAGAAAATTAGCTATTCAAATTACTTAATTTTAATTTCTAAAAAAAAAGTCTGCTTTTACTCTGTGGAATTTGCTAATGTTTGTTTTTTTTTCCGAACATTGAAGAATTTGAAACGAAAAAATGAATTTCAAAACCTTTTAAATCAAACAAACTTGATGTATAACTTTTCAGTTCCGGAAAAAGTGAGTTATTGATATTCAGTATTTCTTATGCGGTTGAAACGTTGCCCATCAGATCCTGTTACAATGATGTTAAAATCTGATGCCAATTTAAATCATTGTAATTAATTAATATAATCTAATCAATAAAATCTAAAACTCTAATTATGGTACCACTGAGCTTTCTTTAAAGGAAAGAAGTAGTGGTGGAAATGAATTTGGAACGATCTCTTTGTTCGGCTCAGAACAAAGTACCATTTTCAAATTTCAAACAACGAATAATTCCACTCACAGTTTATGCGTTTTTAATCATTTTAAAATTTATACAACAGATTTTGCACTTTTTAATATTTACTATCACTTTTATGATAGTGATGACTAAATGATGTTGGAGTGATAGTTAATTCAAGAAAATTCTAGGAAAGCGCAAAAAACAAAAGATGAAAACAATACCAACAAAGAAAGGAAAATTGATAATGTTTGCCTTTTCGATCTGTTTCGGTGTTTCACTTTTTACCTTTCTGTTCGCAGTAATATTGTTCATAGTTCGAGTGTGATATTATCTATATCTTTCCAAACTAATCACTTTAAATCATGAAGATCAAAAATAAACGGAATAATTAGGAAAATATGGGGAAGTGTTCGAGAATTTTGAAGTGTTTCACTAAAATCGTAACGCATCTCGACTCTTATAGCACACTGTGACATTAACTGTTGAACACATGCATGCACTTATAATTAAATCCATTGAAATTATCGTTGACGCGTTGACGACATACCGCATTCCGTGAAGTATCATGATTTATAAACACGTATTGCCATCACTATTAATTCTTGCAATACCTTACCTAAAATCAGATCGCTTACTTCAATTCACTTTGTCTGCACATTTTCGCGACAATCAAATTATTCATTCCACACCAATGAGATATTCGATGCAAATTATTCCTTGCATTGGTTACTCATATTAATATACAGATAGGACTGCTTCGCATTGTTATTCTCATGGATTTTATCTAGGAAGATTCTAATTCGTCATTCGTGCTTCTAGTAATATATTTTATCAGGTATCCTACGATCGTTTCTAATTTTAGAATGGAAAATCTCACTACATTTGTAAGCCTTTCCTTTCGACTTGACTTATTTTTTAACCTGCTTTTTTAATTCGACAATTTAACTGAGTTATTTGAAGTATGACAAACTTGATTTAGAAGAAATAATGTTAAGTGAAAAGATCAACTGATTCATTCAAGCAATAACAATTTAGTGATGAAGATATGATATTGACAGTGTTGAGTATAATGTATAAAAGAGAATATAACCATAGAGTAAAAAAAAAACAATAATTTTGAACATTTATTAAGAGTTGAAATCGCTCTAAATTTCTTTTAACAACAATGTCAAAAAGTTTATCCTGTCATCGTTGTCACTTTCTGTTTGCATAGGTTTTTAGTTGTAAATATGATTAATTAGTTATAACGTGAAAACCGTTGAATATTGGTATCACCCATTACAGCTAATTTTTAGTACATAAACAAAAACGATTGACTAGTCGAACAAGTACCATAAAAGTTCAAATATAAAGTTGCTAACCTACTGAAAACAAAATATTTTTTTTTTCTTTGTATGACGACAAAGTAAGATTCAATATAAGCCAGTGACATTTAACGGTATTTTTTAATTACAATCTACAAATAGACACAATGAAATCATGTCAATGCTACAAATCATGAAATCATCTGCTCATATAAGTCATATTTTTATATTCGCTTTATTCGTTCAAAAATTTGAAATCACTTCACAAGATACTACAATAGTTTATTAACAAGATCAATATACTGCGCTGAAGAACTTATGACAACTAAACTGCTTAAAGCATTTCGCTTTTCTTTTGGACTCTTCCGCTAAAGCTTTTGAGTGAATCTTTATTTTGCAGATTTTCTTATCCACTGTTTTGCTTTTTCCCTGATTTGCTATTAATTAAAAAGTTTAACATATGCATTAATCTGGGATCAATCCCTTGAAATATAGCCTAACAATATACTCATTGTATTTCAGAGATTGGCTTGAGACATATCTATCACTGAGACTATATCTGTACAATTTTTGGAGCTTAAGCAAAATTAATTCACACAGATTTTAAAAAAAATAGTAAATATTGTAGTGAGTAAAATATTGCAGTAAAACGAGTTATAATTACCGCAGTAAAATATGATGAGCATGATAATCATAAGCATCGTAATCAATATAATGATATATCATAATAAGCACAGTATTAAAGTGCAACAAAATACCATTACAAATATACGGCACAACAAAATATTGTACCGTAGCATAATACGATGTCAATTAAATACCGCATAATAAGTATTGCAGCAAAAAAGTGTGATAAGTGCCATAACAAGCTAAGAGTATAATGAGACTAATATAGGATTTCACACTGTTGTCAAACGAGTTTACTTGTATAAAATAACACCAAAAAAGTCATATAAGGAAATAGTTTTAAAGGGATCAACAAGCCGAAAGAATACTTGTGTACAGCAGATACAGCCTCGATCAATATGTAAACAATCGTGAAACGATATTTTGGAATTCAAACAAGGATTAAAGTGCAACACCGACTGAAAGGTCGTATAGATACAGTAATGCGCCTGGTCAGTAAAACAAAGATCACAAGAAGCTGACCTAGAGATAGAGCTCGAAGGATTTGAAAGGAATGGGTCAGCAGAGGGAGCTCAGTTTTGAACAGATTTCATTCAGTATTTAGATAGATACATTTTTTAGTGATTTTTGGATAGATTCGATTCGGTACGGCATATTCGAAGCACTAGTTTCATAGTGGATCGATAGTGATATGAAAGTACAATTTAGTTAACATTCAATGGACTATTGGTATAATTCAACATTTTAGGTGTGTTGGTTTCCACTCTATTATTATATAAATACGGTATTGCATGATACTACACAAAACTAATAAAGCTTGAAAATTTGTGGAGGTGAAAACACGATTTTTAAAAAGTAAAAAAGTCGATTTTGCTTCTTTTGTTTTAAAAGTTTGTCATAGTGATGAAGAAAATATATATACGTTGGTATAAATGAAACAATGGAACATAAAAGTTCTGTTTCAAAGCTTCCTTTGTGTATAGGTGCTCCTCGAAATCCTTTAGCTGATTTCATTTTCTTGAGAGAGATAAAAAAAGGTGAACATCTAAGAAAGACTATTACAGGACAAACACAGAAATAATAACAAACGACAAAGAAACTGCTAATTGTCTAATTAAGAGTACTTTTCTCTCCTCATCCTCTTTAAAGACATTTCTCCTTCCTTCCTCTTCCATTTCTCAGCTATAAAGGCAATAAAAGCATCAATACAAACAGCAGCAATCTGGTTTTTGTTAATAAATGTAATATGTTGAAGCCATCACAATTTTGGATAGTTATCAGCTATACCAGTTTTTCTAATTTACAATATGCTGCTTTTATTAAAATCCGTAGATGACATCTGAGCACCATACCTGATCCGCTATCTTGCAGTTGTAAATGAATTCTCATTTAACAATTATTGCAAGCCAAACCAGAGAAGGTATTCGTAACCCTGATTCGGCTAACCGAATGACCAGATGCAACACACAAGTGACCTATAGGCTCACTCGGTCATATTTGTCATGCAATAAAAAACAAGATATTATTTCAAGCTTATCCGTATATCGAATAGCGATGTGAAGTCTGCGTAAAAATTGTGTATTGAGGAAAATAAATGAAGATATTAAATTTGCAATAATTTTAGAAATAGGCATGTCATCAGTTGCTAAAGTTTGGCTAATGTTTGTTTATAAGCTGGTGGTAATATTTGCATAAACGGATTTTGCATAACAGAAAGAAAAATGTGCAATGTAGCATATATCAATAAGCATAGATATGGTAGCATCCAAAAATTAGAACATTTTTTCTCCAGTTTAAGCTAATTTATGTGAAAATATTTCAGATTGCATCCATTTTAATAACTTATTACTTTCTGATCTTTTACAATGGAAATTTTGAATTATTAAGCAAAATATTATGTGAATTTAAGTGAATAAAATGTGATTAAAACTTATCTTTTGCTGGATGACTTTCTCTTTAGAGGTAAGAAACCAGAATAATTGACAGATATAGAGAAATGGAATAGATGTGCTTATTTTTATAGTTTTTTGGAGCGTTTTTTGGAAGTTAAGTGCTCTGTTTTTTCAAGGATAATGAAAGTTTGCAAGTCAGAAGCACAGAAGTAAAATAGCTCATAAAAAAGAATCTTTAGAACTCTCTGGTCCATGTAAATTCTTAAGGATCGACTGATTTCTACACTAGAAAACAGGTAATAGCACTGAAATAGATTTGAATGTGAACTTACAAGTAATGCTGGTTTCTTATGTATCATAGTTCTTGATAGAGATTTGCTATAAGGAAACTATTTTCTGTTACTTCAAAATTCACCAAGAATTTTTTTATTGCTACAAAACGTTTTAGTCACTATAATATATATATGAGAATGAGGAAATAATTTCACATCACATAATAATAATGTGCTCAATTTTTTTAAGCATATGACAATATCAGATTTGAACTGTCAGGGACATCTTATTTATGCATTTGACTGATTCAATAAACAACTATATAAATGTACTTAATAAACTACATACTAGCTTTTGAATATTTTGTAGAAGAAATTTCTCATTGCATTATTACTCGATCTATCCCTCAAAGTGTAAAATTTCTATCATTATTTCAATAACATATCTCATCAGAAGACAGATATTTCTTATCCTTATCCGTTCCGATAAATTTTATAGACTTACTTTTTTTTTTTTTTTTTTTTTTGCAAAAAACTATGCTTTTGTATATTTACTGTAAGTGAACAATATTGTCATCACTTTTTAATGTAGTCAAAAGTTTTTGGAAATATTTTACTCATTTATCAATGTTATTGACTATTCAATTGGTCGAATAGCAAATGATAATAAAAGTATATGTTTTTGCAGAGTACTATATTAACATAAAAAATTATAACATTTGTATATAATATCTCATAAGAACGATTATGTAAGAAGATTGTTTTCTGCACTAATTTAATGACTGCGAAGTAAAAGTATCATAACTAATTCTTCTTTAACTTATAATCAGATTTTACTTAGTTCTTCTTTTAGAATCTTCTGAATGGTACTAAGAATAGCTGCATCAGACCGATTGATACCAAGTGAGATGAATTCAGTTCTGGTGAGCAATAAAAAAGTTTCATAGTCTATTTCTTGTTCCTCTAATTTCTGACACATATCTGGAGAGCACCTTCTATTTAGGAGATCCCAGTATTTCTCTGGAAAATGAAGCAATTACATCAATCTAAATAACAATTTGCAATCTATCGCAGAATTTTCGATTCGTTGTATGTTTATGTAAATTTTATACGATAGCTTTAATTATAAAACAAGCATTATCTCAGGGTTAACTAACGAGAAATATGAAACATGAAAAATTTTACAGATCGAGGTCATGCGGCGGACATGCGGCTTCCTGACTTGATTAAAATTCAGTTAAAATTATTTAAAATTATAGTTTCAAATCACTTTTTTTCTGTTTAATAAAAAAGCATTTCGAACCTATTGAGGCTATTATGAAGCTATCAGTTGTCTTGATGAATAATTAGAAATGTTTTTATGAAACTGTTAAATATAGTATTTTATTATAATAATTACATTACACGTCTCGTTAGTTAAAAATTAAATTATAATTTCATTAAATTATAATTAAAGCGAATGAATCACTAACTCTCATATTTGTAAGTTGAGCACAATTCACTTATACTTTCAATCATCGGAACTTCACTGTCCTGACAACCATCTGTTTTCAATATCGTTGATAGATTTGAGCTGCTTGATGAAGTCATCGAATAGCTGAGTGCATTAGGAGTATTTTATTAGCTCAATGTCTTTAGGGATATTTTCCTAAAATCGTAATTATTCTTTACTTTTTTGGTGATCCGGAACCAAAATGGAACAGAATGGACTGAAGTTTCGAAATACTGTTGCACTGTTGCTGTCGTATATTTAAATAATTGGTGTTGACCAGCGATGGCGTCGTATGAAAATTTGACGGTTGAGCAAGTGAACCATCCTAAAAACAGGAAATGAGTGAAAAAGGCTAATTGCAAATTCAAATTGCATAATGAAGCATGTCTACTTTTGTTGTCCTTTTACTCAAGCAACAATCATTCATTAAACATCGGCACTGTTCTTGCTCATCAGTATTGACCATAATTCTCTCTTCCTGCAAATATTATATTCACCTTAAAAGAGGTTTTTTGAAGATTGGAGTTTTTACTATTTTTAACTCAATCAGCTAATTTGTTTAGTCTTATTTTACCTGAGAAGACAAATTCGTTTCACTTTTTAAGTTTTAGTGTGCACTGATATGTGGCAAGGAATAAGAAAGAAAGAAATTACTTTATGCAAAATTAAGAAAGAAAATGAAACTATTTCAAAGAACAAATTTCTAAGCTTACCAAAACTGGTTTTGGAGAGGTCTTGAAACCATTTGGTGTACCACCCACTTCAAAACAAGTACAGGGAGAATCTGGCCAAGCAAGAGCACTAAATAGTTCTTTAGGCACCCAATTTGATTTCAGACCCATATTTTGAACAACTTTCTGCAGAAAACTCTGCTGGCTAGCACCTATTACTAATTTGATTGGCTGATGACACATCGACTAAAATGAACGGTTTGTTCAGTCGCTTAAGCGATTTTCCATTTCCAAACATTATAAGTGTGTATGTAATTGCCAAAGCAACTTAATTGGAGAATGAGTCCGGAGATTTTATTTTTAAATCAAGTTTTTTTTTCTTTTTGAATAATTTTTTCTTTCTTTTTTTTTTTGAATAAAAATGAATAAAATGACAAACTGAAATGAAGAGAACCGATGATGAAAGGCGGTTGTTTAGCTTTTTTGACTAAAAGAAAGGTTAGAGTTGCAACCTGAAATTAGATAAATGAACCGCTAGCTATACTTGGCTTTTTCCGCGAATTCTCGATATCTTTTGCAATGTCTCTGTCATTCTTTTAATGAGACGCATTTTGTGCCCTGATCCTTTCAGTAACATTTGAATGGTTGATGATGAGATACCATCTGAAGCAATGAATATCTAATAAGGGGATTTATCAAAATGATAAGGCATTCTTGAAAATCTCTTTTAATTCACCACCAAACAATTTCAGAGGTAGCAAAATCTGGTAATAAATGTTTGACATAAATTTTTCAATGAATATGGGAAAGTTGTAATTTAGTAGAATTTTTGGATGGCATTTAATTTGAGTTTTACTTCGAAATAAATAAATATCTTATACATGGAAAACTTCCCGAAATTACCGGAATTGGATGCTAGTTCAAAGAGCGAAAACTGACAACCGTTTGTACTTTGACTGGCACCTTTCTTTACCAGATATTGTGTTAATGCATCGTTGCTGCAATGTTTTTTTTTTCATTAATGAGATTTCCAAAAATTTTAAATCAATAAGTAAATCAACGAAGATTATTCAATGTAGAATTTGAATTAAAAATAAAAATTTGACTAAAAATAAACA